AAGGGGGAAATAAGTGTTCTTTGAATCGTAATCGGAGATCGCAAGTACCGATTTCAATGGCGGATCGGAGCAGAGGATTTATGAGAGATGAATTCGTGACCTATGCTTACATTCTTCTCTATATCGCTCTTTCTAGCGGTCAAATCTTCTTCAATAAGGTTTCTACTTAAATCTCACAACCTTTCTTCCTATGGATCTGTGGTTTTTTTTTTTAATTTCTCGCATCGTATTATTTTTGTGCTCTTCTGATTTGTGTGAATCGATCACTAGTTTTCGTAAAAGATTGAACTGTGTGCGTGTGAGTGAGAAATCCGATGCAATGTGCCTGACTCTGCTAGTGTTTACGGGAAGTTGACTAGTGGAATATAGAAATCAACATACTTTACAGGAATGTTCCTTGTTTAATGTTTGATTGCATTGGTTTCGATATCATCATCTTAAGCTGGATCAGTTTATCAAATCAAGCGGTTTTGCTCGTATTCTCTGTATGACATTCTGTAAAATACTTCTGTAATCCTTAAGAATTGTCATAGTTTTGCAATTTAGACAGTAATCTGTTGTCATGAAAACTCGGTTTATGTTGTGATGGTTGTTGGTGGGATCAGTTGAGTATGTTTAATGGCGGTTTTATGTGATTATTTCTTACGCGTCATTTGTGCAAATCGTTGCTGCTAATGATTCAATCATTGTGGTTTCCATATATTCCTCAGGGCATGGTTGTTAATTATACTTTTGTTTTTTGATGGGAAAGTTTGGTTTCATGACTAACATTTCCTGTCTCTGACTTGCTCTTGTGCAGTGGGTTTTGTCATCTAAGGAGATAAACTTTCCTTATCCGCTTGGATTGACTTTACTCCATATGATATTTTCTTCTGTTTTGTGCTTTCTTCTTACCAAAGTTCTTAAGGTATCCAATCTTGCAATGATCTTCCTTTATTTGTTCATAAGTAGGAATTGATAGATTTTAACTTTTGCTTTCTTTTTTATTTTCTCTATTTATTTATCCTCGAAGATCGTGAAGGTTGAGGAAGGAATGACACTAGAAATGTAAGGGAGAGAGAGACTTCGTAAGCAATTTGATTTTGGAGTAGTTGAAAATACCCATAACTTAAAAAATTATCTTTACCAGTTTTATCAATGTAGTTTCTATCTTTGGTTGAGTAATAAAATAATTCACTTTATGTACTCAGATATGTTACATCAGTTATTCCAATAGGTGCAATGTTTGCGATGACCCTCTGGTTGGGAAACACTGCCTATCTCTACATATCAGTTGCATTTGCACAGATGTTGAAGGCTATAAGTAAGAAGACCCTTTAACTGTTCCTTCTCTCATTTCCCCATGCGTATGGTGCTTATATCTTAATGACCTGGACTGTGGATACCAATTATCTCCTTGAATCATACTTGCAGTGCCGGTTGCTGTATTTATTCTTGGAGTAGCTGCTGGACTTGAAATGATGAGCTGCAGGATGCTTTTGATAATGTCTGTCATAAGTTTTGGTGTTTTAGTGGCCTCTTATGGGGAATTAAACATCAACTGGATCGGAGTGGTTTACCAAATGGGTGGTGTCATTGGAGAAGCCCTGAGGCTAATCTTTATGGAAATTCTTGTCAAGAGGAAGGGTATCAAATTAAACCCAATCTCTCTTATGTACTATGTGAGCCCCTGCAGGTAAGAGGAAACCGAAGAACAACCCAATCTCAGTTAGTTCATTATGTAAACCTAAGGTCTACTTACTTAGCATTCTGTGTCTCCTTTTTGCAGTGCTATTTGCTTGTTTGTACCGTGGATCTTTCTAGAGAAATCGAAGATGGAAGGAAATGGCACATGGAACTTTCATTTTACAGTGTTGACCCTTAACTCCATCTGTACATTTGCTCTCAACTTGTCGGTTTTCCTGGTGATATCTCACACGAGTGCTCTCACTATCCGAGTTGCTGGCGTTGTCAAGGATTGGGTGGTTGTCTTGGTCTCAGCTCTTCTCTTTGCCGACACAAAACTCACAGTCATCAATCTTTTCGGTTACGCCATTGGTAAGACAAAACTCCTCACATGCATACCAAACTAGCTTTAGAAACCAGGAGTCAAAAGATCAAAGAGTTGTGCTTCTCTTTTAACTTTTCTTCATTTTGTGTCAACACGCAGCCATTGCCGGTGTAGCGGCTTATAACAACCATAAACTGAAGAAAGAAGCGTCCCGAGTTACCTCAGAGACAGCTTCGGGAGATAGTGAATCTATACCGTTGGTGTCACAGACTACCAATACAGAGAGATAAAAAAAGTAGTTCTCATCAATCTTGAGGTAATCCTTGATTGTTTGTTTCTGTGATATGTACTACCCGAATTATATATAACTCATACAAACTCTGTACCTGAAAAAAACAAAAGGATTAAAATCAAAATTTATCAAATTCTCATCATTTTTCGTCACAACAGTAATGCATTTGTTTTGTAGTTATTTCATAAACGTTAAAATTAGTATTTATTTACCATTCACATTCGTTTCCATCAATTTTTAAGTTCTTTTATACAAGTGAGAATTGTCAAAAAAAAAAAAAAAGAGGAATTTTTAATTCGGAAAAAATTCTATTTACTCGATTCAACAATGGGCCTAGGAGCGTTGGAAAAGCCCAGTAACAGTTTTTCCTTTTTTGTTTATCTACCTGGATTTAATATTTTAAAAATGGAGAGGAGAG